TTCAAGGAGTTAGCTTAGTTTCACATGAATATAATAAATGTCTATTTTAAAATGCATTAACACAGCCTAAGCTGGCATTGCCCACGCCCTCCCCAGACAAACGTGGCCCGCCTTAGCCCCCTCTGCAGGTCGGTACAGCACACCATCGAGCCAAGGTCCTCCCGCATTCCTAGAGCGGGAACGAAAGTGCGACGGGGAGGGAGCGCGCACGGTCGGCGAAGCGCTGCTGGGTGTTGGAGAACGTGGGTCTCCGGCTGCAGCCCGTGGCTGGGTGAGTGCTGAGCGGGTCCGGGGCTGCGGTGGAGCCACTACCTGGAACGCGGGGGAACAGCTACATCCCCGCGGCTGCAGAGAAGCCTGCGCGTTCCGGGTGGCCGTGCGTGGTGAGGGCAGGGTCCAAGGAGGGAGGAGTCGATGCTGCGGCCTTTGATGCAGATGAGACTGTAGTTAACGGTACAGCCCTTTGCTGCTTTGCTTCTATTGCGTGCAACTTAAAACATAGGGCTCGCCGACCTTTGTGGAAATTTAAAGCAGATAAAAAGATCCGTGTAGCCTTTTGGAGCGTGAGTTCAGCAGGTGGAGGTGACAGCGAGGGCAAAGGTCCTGAAGCCGGAGTTTGTTGGCCGTGTTGGAGAAACAATCGGGAGGAAGGGTGCTTCTCAGGAGACGGCTCACGTAGATAGGGATTAGCGGCACGGTCCAAGAGCTGCAGGCTCAATGGGGCAGGCTGGTGATGCGTGAGACCCAAGTTCAGCTCTGGGCAAGCCGGAACACCTGAAACCCCGGAAAGCTTAGGGTTTAGTTCTCTGCCGAAGGCCGGTAGGTTAAGACCCTGGTACCGCTGATGTTCCAATTTGCGTCTGGAAGCGATGAAAAACCTTGATGCCTCCTTCTGAGGTCACTAAGCAGGAAGAATTCTGTCTTAACCAGGTAGAAGAGCGTTATTATATTTTACTCAGACCACCCAACCGGATGATGCCTGCTTTTTACTCAGTCTCCAGTCTACCAATCTGAATGTTAATCTCATCCAAGAACTCTGTCATAGAAACATAGACAAAATTAATCATCACAATAGCACATGTTTATTTTTTGGCTAACCGTCAGTACTTTTTCACTTCTGTTAAGAATGGTCTGACAGAAATATCAGCGGTGGAGTGTTAAATACTCCTATTTAACAACAAGACTTATTTGGAGGTCCTCCTTGCAACCCTCCTTGCCAACATACTCACTGACTTGAAAACAAGTGTCTAATAATTTAAGGTGCTCTTTTGTTGAAGGTCTAATGAGTTACTCTCAAGAGTAATTCAAACCGAGAGTGCTAACTGCCAGTGTTTCAAGTGCTCAGTGCAAGAGATGGTGGCAGAATTCACTGGATTCATTTTAGACGTGTTGGGGTTGAGAAATTTCTAGAGAGTATCCATTATGAGACAGGTAGAAGAAAATACAAGTCAGGCATTCAAGATCCCTGGCCTAAAGATGTTCATTGTAGTCACAGACATATTATCTGCTGAAGGCCATCAGAAGATTTATGCAGCCTGAGGTGGAACAAGAAGTATGTGAACTGGGAGTCTTGGAACGGAAGCTTCCCAAGGTTGGTGCTGCACGACCAAGTCTGTGGTTAGCAAAACAAAAGCCATACAGCCATGCTGTTTGACGAAGTTCACTGTTGACAGAGTCAAGCCGTAGAGAGAGCGAGCTCAAAGAGTTTGCACACTTGGAGGTCCAGTCTCTCTCCTCTCTCACATTCCACGGTAATCTCTTGGTGACCCTGAAGACATGTCAGCATCAATGCTGGCAGTATTTTCACTGAGAGTAAAAGCTGCAGGGCGAGCTTGTGGGGAGAGTTCCCTAGGCTACCCCTTCAACTTGTGGTCTTTATCTTATCTCTTCCCACCTCTCTCCTTCTGTTTGGCATCTTACTTTGAGAGTAATCTTTCCTCACTCGGGTTTTCTGCTGTCAACCTGGCTGTTGCCCTCATCCCATTCACAAACTGTCTCCACAGAGATCGCTAATGGTATCCATGCTTTGGAATACAGTGGGTCTTCAATTAATCCACTTTTTTAGAACGTTTCACATTCTTGAGTGCTGTCTTGTTTTTTAGATTTATTTGTTTTTTAGATGTATTTTAAAATTTTTATTGGAAAGTCAGATGAGACAGAGAGGAAGATGTTTCCTCTGCTGATGAAATCCCCGGGCAGCTGGAGCTGAGCTGATTCGAAGCTAGGAGCCTGGAGTCTCTTCCTGGTCTCCCACAAGGGTTGCAGGGTCCCAAGGCTTTGGGCCGTCCTCGACTGCTTTCCCAGGCCACAAACAGGGAGCTGGATGGGAAGCAGGACTGCCAGGATTAGAACCAGACTTTAGCCACTAGGCTACTGCGCCAGGCCCGAATGTTGTTTTCTTAAATTGTACTTACAAATTAATGAATTCCTTCTGTTTTTACACCTATTATTTAATCTATTGTAAAACTTCTGTGAATTAGCTGTTATCTTTATTTTACAAATGAGTCTATGAAGTCAGTAATTTGCCTTGGGTTGCACAGCCTGTAAATGACAGGTTTGGGAGAGCCCATGTCTCTCCAAGGCCCACAAACTTTTACCACTCTATATTCACAGAAGTAAGCCTGCAGGGTCCCAAGTCCTTGGGCCACCCTTTGCTGCATTCCTAGGCCATAAACAGGGAGCTGGATGGGATGCACCCACATGGGAGACCTGGAAGAAACTCCTAGCTCCTAGCTTCAGATCAGCTCAGTCCTGGCCGTTGTGGCCACTTGGACAGTATATAAGCAGATGGAAAATCTCTCTGTCTCTCCTTCTCTGCATCAATCTCATCTGCCTTTCTAATAAAAATAAATAAATATTAAAAAATGTTTGGGGGCCCGGTGCGATGGCGCAGTGGTTAAGGTCCCCGCCTTGCACGCCCGGAATCCCATATGGGCGCCGGTTCTAATCCCGGCAGCCCCGCTTCCCATCCAGCTCCCTGCCTGTGGCCCGGGAAAGCAGACGAGGACGGCCCAAAGCTTTGGGACCCTGGACCCACATGGGAGATCCAGAAGAGGCTCCTGGCTTCGGATCGGCATAGTATCGGCCGTTGTGCTCACTTGGGGAGTGAATCATCGGATGGAAGATCTTCCTCTCTGTCTCTCCTCTCTGTATATCCGCCTTTCCAATAAAAATAAAAATAAATCTTTGAAATTTTTTTTAATTTAAATTTAAAAATAATCATAAAAATAGAAGTCATCCTGCGTGTCCTCTGGATGCTGCATACTTGTGCATCTCTCGCCCTCTCACGAGGCTTCTCTCACCATTACCAGATAGAGCTACCTGGTAGGCGGAATGTACCACTGTTCTGAACTGAGACTCAGCAGGCCTACACCTGCTGTTGGCGGTGACGTGCTGCAAAGGTAGCTCTGCACTCTGCCAGCCGCCTGGGCATACCTTGATGTGACACTTGAACCTCTGAACTGCAGATGCATATTTAATTAAGGTTGTTTTTTTTTTTTAAAAAAAGATGTATTTATTTTTATTACAAAGTCAGATATACAGAGAGGAGGAGAGATAGACAGCAAAATCTTCCGTCCGATGATTCACTCCCCAAGTAACCACAACGGCTAATGCTATGCTGATTCGAAGCCGGGAACCAGGAACCTCTTCTGGGTCTCCCACGCGGGGGCAGGGTCCCAAAGCTTTGGGCCGTCCTCGACTGCTTTCCCAGGCCACTAGCAGGGAGCTGGAAGGGAAGTGGGGCTGCTGGGATTAAAACCGGAGCCCATCTGGGATCCCAGCGCATTCAAGGTGAGGACTTTAGCGGCTAGGCTACACTGCCGGGCCTTTTTTTTTTTAAGCAGGGAAATTAATGAATAGTTTTACATTCTTTTAGTTAATTTTGATCCCTGCTTTAATGAATGTATAAGTGGTTACATTTCTTTTTTTCTTAATGTTTTGAGAATGTAAAATCTTAGAAGTTGTAAGAACAATTCATACCATCCTGTGGTAGCCATACCTCGTGTACTCTCGTCACCTCTTTACCCGTTTCCCTCCTCCCCAATACACTTGAGAATAATTTTTTCATGCATCTGATGAGGTTATAAATGTGTTCTCTCATGACCTAGCACCATTGTCCCGCCTGAGGAGATTGCCTAACAGGAGTTGGCAACCTTTTTCTGTAAAGGCAGCATGCAGAATGGTTCTGTAAATGCTCTCATGGACACCAGTCACCTGTGGATTACCGTGTAAAGCAGATGTATGTTATTTAATGAATGGGACTAGCTAGATTCCTGAAAATGAATAGAAAACATCAGGCTTTGGGCTTAACTGAGTCTGCTGCACTGTGGATTGTTTCTCTCATTCACATTATTCATTTGCATGTTTCTAAATTCTTCAAAAATACTTGTTCCTTTTTTTTTAAATGTAAGACCCAGATTTCACACTTTGTGTTGGGTGTCTCTTAAATCTAGAATAGAAACTTTCCCGCGTCTTCCTTTTGTTTTTATGAAATTAATTGTTTTGAGGAGTTTATGCCTATTGTAAGTGAGCCCCTGCACCCATGTGAAGGATCCAAAAGAAGCTCCTGGCTCCTGGCTTCAGACTAGTGAGCTCTGGTCATTGTGGCCATTTAGGCAATGAACCAGCAGATGAAAGATCTCTCTGGCTCTCCTTCTTTCTTTATAACTTTGCTTTTCAAAAAAAAAGAAAATTTTGTTCCCCTTCTCTAACTCAGTGGTGTTAGTAATCACGTATGGCCTTTGACTCATTTATTTCAAGGACTGCAAAATGATGAGTTTTCACATTCATCTTTCCTGCCTTGTTAGCTGGGAATCATCAGTAAAACTGAGTTTTCTTATTGTGTGTCTGTGTTTAGGAATGATTGTTTCAGAGGGAGAGAGAACCAAAGGAGACTGTGGAGAATGTGAAAAACCAAGACGGGCTTTTTGCCATGGTCACTGTTGTTGCTGTTTCTGTCCTCTGATTCTTGACCTTAGGTTTTTAGGAGGACCCTGAGGATACAGAAACAAGACTGTTCTCCCAAACAGAACGCAAACTGAGGCTGAGAATGGCAACAGCATTGGCGAGTGCCCTGTCCCTGGTGCCTCTGAACCTGAAGAAGGAGGGGCTTCAGGCAGTGAGGGAGGAGCATAACTCCACCCAGGAACAAGGATTCAAGCCACAAGGAAATAGCAGAGGCCTCAAACCAGAGCTGTTGTGCAGACAATTCAGACAGCTGCGTTATGAAGAGACTGCAGGACCTCGGGAAGCGCTGAGCCGGCTCCGGGAGCTCTGCCGACGGTGGCTGCGGCCTGAGACCCACAGCAAGGAGCAGATCCTGGAGCTGCTGGTGCTTGAGCAGTTCCTGGCCATTCTACCCAAGGAACTGCAGGCCCACGTGCAGGAGCATCAGGCAGAGAGCGGGGAGGACATGGTTGTTGTGCTGGAGGATTTGCAACTGGAACGTGGCAAAACAGGACGACAGGTGGTAAGGGGCAGATGTGTTCTTTTTCCAGGGAGACAAAAGTTAAGCTTCTGACTGGGTAGGTGGACATGAGCTTAGCAGTGACAGGAAACTCACTAAGCTTTGCTCCAGTGTCTTTCTAGAATGCGTGTTCATCTCTGTAGGTCTTAACTCAGTCTTACCTGCTTTGGACTGGGAAGACATTGCATCCAGATTCCCACCCTCTTGCCTGTGCCCCTCTGGAATGTCTCTTTGTTTCCTCTTCTAAGATTGAAATGTTTTTTTCTGAACAGCAGTTTCATAACCAGTTTAATTATCCCTGTACGTACCTGATTGTGCCTAGGTTCCAGACCACACAAAGAAACAGAAAATAGTTGCGGAGGAGGCAGCTCCTGTAACTTCAGTACAGGAGTGGCAGGTGCAGCCCGAGCGTGAAGCTCCAAAGCCCAAGAAGGAGAAGGGTAAGAGTTGAATTGTATCTTTTCTGCATGCGAGATGTAGAGCAGTGTGCAGTTTCCTTTGAGACCCTACTCAGCACCGTGTCTTGCTCTTGTTGTGAATCGTGTTTTTGGAAGTGTAACTTACATACAGTAAAATGAACTCTTTGTAAGTGTACAGGACAGTGAGTTTTCACAAGCATAAAATGACTATGACTGTTCAGTCTGCAATACCATTAGGATATAAAAGATTTTCATTACCCTAAACATGTTAGTTGAACGAAACACAAGGAAAAGCTAGAAGGGAAACTGAAATGTTACCTCGTTCTTTCTTTTCTAAATGTTGGAGTAAATAAAGAATGTAATCCTAGTTTCTCATCCAAGGTGAATAATCCCACTCAGGCATTTCATTATTCATTCTTTTCTTTTTTTTAAAAGATTTATTTATTTTTATTACAAAGTCAGATGTACAAAGAGGAGGAGAGACAGAGGGGAAGATCTTCCGTTTGATGATTGACTCCCCAAGTGACCACAATGGCTAGTGTTACGCCGATCCAAAGCCAGGAGGCAGGAACTTCCTCCAGGTCTCCCACATGGGTGCAGGGTCCCAAGGCTTTGGGCCGTTCTCAACTGCTTTCCCAGGCCACAAGCAGGGAGCTGGATGGGAAGTGGAGCTGCTGGGATTAGAACTGGTGCCCATATGGGATGCCGGGTGTTCAAGGTGAGGACTTTAGCCATTAGGCCATCGTGCTGGGCCCATTCATTCTTTTCTTATCCCCTTCAAGTTATTATAAATTGCACTGCCTTTCATTTCTGAATGATACCTGGATTTTTTTGGTGGTTGTTATTGGACTGTGTTGCTGAAATCTTTCTCTCTAATTTCTGGTGTATATATATATTATAACTAACATCTATATTTCTGATATATGTATATTATTTTTTTTTTAGTCCAATCTAATCCTTGCTTCCCTTTTTTGTTATTTGGCTTTGAGTCATCTTGATATTTCCAATAAAAGTAGTTTACCTCCTGTTCATTCTGCATCAGTAAAACAGATTTAATAATGCCTTCCCCCCCTCCTTAAAACTCTCTTTTCATGATCTGGGGGCTGTTATTCTGTTATTCTTTCAACTTGTTCAGTATTTGAGTACTTTGATTATAAAAAAAGAGAAGAGAGGAAACAAGTCAGCACTTGCCATGACTCCCAGTGCCGGTGAATGAAAGGCTGTAATGGCACATCCCAACACATCTGAAGGCTCCCCTCTCGGTCTCATGTCTAGCAACACCATCAACTTAGTCTAATTTTCTTGAGGTTTTACCATTGATGATTCTACGTCCTGGGAAATTTCTGAATTCTAGACAGTCTCATTCAATTACTCACCCCGTGCCCACCTGCTCACATTGAGTGTTCCCACTCTGCTGAGCCCCTTCCCATTTACTATTTTCTCCTTGCTGTTCCTTCTGAGTCTCTCCTGCCTTCTTTCTTCTAACTGGAACACGTTTTCTTCATTCATCCTAACTCCTGCTCATTGGTTAGGGTCAATCTTAGATATCACTTTGTCTATCCTTGCCTCAGTGTCCCAAGTCTTAACCCACTTTTGCTGCTGTAGGTCAAAGATCTCTTCTGTCACAGAACTGACCACATTTTATCGTAATTTATGGTTTACTTTGTTTGATTTCCCTGCCAGATTAAGAGGTCAGAGGCTTTGTTTAGCTTCCTGAGCTTGCTGTAATCCCTGGCTTAAAATAGACACTCAATAACTTGTCTTGAGTTAGTGGCTGATTTTGTATGTAAAGCCATCCGTTATGTATGATTTACTCTTCCCTCTAAGGTTTCTCTCCTTCTGGAAGCCTTCTGTGTAAAATTGATGAAAGAAAAGCAACCCCCCTTTTCTTAAATAACATTGCAGAAATAAATTTATGTGAGGCACAGCGCATCTCTGCGCAAATAAAAAGAAAGAAGAAAGAAATGAATTTATGGCATATAATTAATTATAGGAATGTACTTTAAATACCAAAAGTAATGCAATGTAGTATAATTTTTAAAGTATCCTTTACCTTCTTATGTTATTAAAAATGTTGTTTTATATTCAAAGTTTAAGTTCTTTTTGGTTTCCATCCCTCTCTCTTGTTTAAACATGGCATTATGTTAGTGCTGGAAAAATCTGTTCCTTTCCATTTTCGCTTCCTCCCTCCCTGCATTTTGTCTTCTTCATTCTGTTGCAGAGGGCTTTTACACACAGTGCCTTACTTAATCTCCCCACTCCCTGTATGTGACTTGACTTTCTCTAATGTCTTCTTACTACTCCCTTCATGTTCACTTTTACTTTTTAGCTTTCAATCATGGTTAACATAAATACTAACCACCACAACATTTTTTATGTTGTACCACACGGCTTGATTTAAATATACCCCTCCTAATTTTAGATTCCTGTCCTCAGGAACCAGAAAGTAAGTCATTGGTGGTATATATTTAATGTTTCAGGTCCAGAGACAATGATTGACAATGGGGAACTTATTATAGTGACAGACTCTGGTAGAAGAATCGAATCTTCTGGGAAAACATCTAAGCCCACTGAAGCTCGTGATGAGGACTCTAACTTGGAAAGGCAACAAGCCCAGCCTAAGGAGAAGGCCGACCATCAGATCTCAGGATGTGGGGAAGCGTCCGCCCAGCAGCGTTTGGATATGACTGAACACGAGAGTGCTTCCATGGGAGAAAAGCTGTGTGAGTCTCAAGTTTGTCAGACTTCCAGTCCTAGTGGACATCAGAAAATCCTTTCGGGAAAGAAAAGTCACCAGTGTCAGCAGTGTGGAAAAGTTTTTCAGAGGAGTTCTCACCTTGTCAGACATCAGAAAATCCATCGTGGTGAGAAACCCTATCAGTGCAAGGAGTGTGGAAATGTCTTCAGCCAGAACGCGGGTCTTTTGGAACATCTCAGAATCCATACTGGAGAGAAGCCTTATCTCTGTATCCACTGTGGAAAGAACTTTCGGCGCAGCTCTCACCTTAACCGACACCAGAGAATTCACAGTCAGGAGGAGCCCTGTGAGTGCAAGGAGTGCGGAAAAACCTTCAGCCAGGCCCTGCTCCTCACTCACCATCAGAGAACCCACAGTCACGCCAAAAGCCACCAGTGTAACGAGTGTGGGAAAGCTTTCAGTTTGACATCTGATCTCATTCGACATCATAGGATTCACACTGGAGAAAAACCTTTCAAGTGTACCATATGCCAGAAAGCCTTCCGACTAAACTCACACCTCTCCCAGCATGTAAGAATCCACAATAAGGAGAAGCCCTATGAGTGCAGCAAATGTGGACAGGCCTTCAAGCAGAAGTCAGGTCTTTTTCAACATCAGAAGTACCACCACAAACGGGCTTGAGGAGGTGTCCTGTCCTAGTGGAACGTCAGAGCAGACACATGGGCAACCAGCATTTTAGGGAAAGTTACTCTGACCAACCCTGAGAATTCTTGGGGACCACGTCCCCCTCCACTGTTTTCCTTGACATCAGCTTTGTACAGCAGTAATGTCACTCTAGGTGACACTGTGGCACCAAAGTTAAACAGCATCCTCTGTAAACAGAACTTCTCAGAGGCTTTGACATGATGAACACGTGAGTATGTATTTCCAGACAGTACAGAAACTTGGGACCGAGATTTCAAGTCAGCAGATTATACGTTTATAGGTTTATGTGTAACAAGAGCAAGTTAATATTTTTGCATATGTTGTAGTAACTGATTCCTATAAAATTGACCTAGCGATATTTAGAAAGATTCCACTCTCAAAGGTACAAGTTAATGGGAACATTTTACTCTGCAGATTTCACCCTTCCTTCCTGCTGGCCTTCCCCCTTCCTTTGTACACAATTTCTGGTCAACTACAGAGTGTATCCTCAGGGTTAGTATCATGTTATTTTACCATTTCCTATCCCTTTGCATCCCTGCCACGTTATCTCATTGACTCAAGTTACAGCAAAGTTTTACTTAGGCTATGGAAGAAATTTCATGAGACTTTTGAATGAACTGTCCTAAATTAATGCAAGTAGCAACTATCTTACCTGGTGACTCCAGTGCCAGTAGAGAGGCTGTTTTATTGGCACTATTCCATAATTGGTGAAAGAACCTAGACTTTTTTTTCTTTAATACTGATGATACAATTTCAAAATTTACTTGTTTAGAAAGTCTATGAAGTTGAAATAATAAAGTCAATTTAAAGATGAGATTATGTTCTTTTATATGAGTGCCAGAATGTCATGGTAAAGATGAAAAACAGTTTAGGAGAGTTCACTCCCAAAGACATCACCAACATAATAGATATCACTTGCTGATTGGTAGTGTTGCAATAATGGCAGGTAGAGTCTGTCTCATCCCCAAGAAATGTGGCAGATTTTTCTTTGTGTCCAGTTCCTTTAGAAACAGCACCACCGGGCCTGATGCAATAGCATAATGGTTAAGGTCCTTGCCTTGAATGCACCAGGATCCCATATGGGCACCGATTCTAATATCGGCGGCCCCGCTTGTGGCCTGGGAATGCTGTCAAGGACAGCTCAAGGCTTTGGGACCCTGCACCCGTGTGGGAGACCCAGAGGAGCTCCTGGCTCTTGGCTCCTGGCTTTGGATTGGCTCAGCTCCAGCCGTTGCGCTCACCTGGGGAGTGAACCATCGGATGGAAGATCTTTCTCTTGGTCCCTCCTTCCCTCTGTATATCCGCCTTTCTTTCCAACTTCAAAGCCTTAGAAGGTAAATTAAAGTCGGTTCAGTGGACAGAACCAGAAAGGGAGATGTTGCAGCAGAGTCTTCTACTAATCAGGCCTTTCTGTGGGTAGCATACTGTCATATCCAAATCCAAGGTGGACTGGAACATCTCATGTTTACCATAACCTACTTAGGTTCATGTTTAAAAAAAATCAATAAAATGAGAGAACTTGTCATTACTGCAGTTTATAGAAAGGGACAGGTGTCTGAAATAGTGGCTAGGATGCAGCTTAGGTCACCCACATCCCATGCCAGCTCTACTTCCAATTTCAATTCCCAGCTAATGCAGACGATAGGCGGCAGTAAATGATGGCTCAACTACCTTGGTTCCTGTCAGCTGTATAAGAGATCTGGATTGCAGTTTGAGCTCCTGGCTTCAGCATGGTCCAGCTCTGGTTGTCATTGGCATTTGAAGAATGAATCAGCAGATGCAAGAGCTCTGTCTTTATGGTTAATAAAAATAAATAAGTAGGGCTGGCTTTGTGGTACAGTAGGTTAAGCTACCATCTGCAGCACACTATTCCATACTGGCACTGGTTCACATCCCGGCTGCTACACTTCTGACCTGTCTTCCTGCTAATGGGCTGGGAAACCAAGTGTTTGTGTTCCTGCCACCCACGTGGAAGATCTAGATGAAGCTTTTGGCTTTGACCTTGTGCCAGCCCTGTCTGTTGTGGCCATTTGGGTAGTGAACCAGTGAATGGAAGACCCCTCCCTCTTTCTGTAATTTTGACTTTAAAATAAGTATATCTTTAAATAAATTTTCTAAAGTAGTACAGAAAAAATGGGGAAAAAATCACATAATTGTCCATTATATAGTATCTTCTAAAATTCCTTATAAAAAGATTTAGTTATTTTTATTGAGAAAGTAGATTTACAGAAAGGAAACAGAGAGGAAGAGAAAGAGCTTCCATGTGCTGGTTCACTTCCAAGGTAGCCTCAATGGCCAGAGCTGAGCCAATCCGAAGCCAGGAGCTTCTTAAGGGTCTCCCACACAGGCGCAGGGTCCCAGGGTTTTGGGCCATCTTTGACTACTTTCCCAGGCCACAATCAGGGAGCTGGAAGGAAGTGGAGCAGCCAACACATGAACCAGCCTCATACGGGATCCTGGCACATGCAAGGTGAGGACTTTAGCCACTAGGCTACTGTACCAGGCACCAAAAATGAACTTTCAAAAAATTGTCTAAGGGGGTCCAGAAAAAACTCTGAGCTCCAGCTTCAGACCAGCTCAGCTCTTGCCAATGCTGCCATTTGTGAAGTGAATCAGTGGACAGAAGATCTTTGTGTCTCTCCCTCTTTCACTGTAATTCTGACTTCCAAGTAAAAAAAAATAAATCTTAAAAGAGGTAAACTTTGTTTAGTGAAGTTTTAAGTTCCCAATAAAATTGAAGAGGTAATATGAAAATTCTCTCCATACCTCCTGCTCCCACATATGCATAGACTTGTTAAATTGAAATAAACAAATATTCATAGCTATATCATAACAGGTAACATTTGTGATCTCACAAGGTGTAGGAAGTTCTTCCTCTGAGCAAGCAGGCTGGCTTCTCTGCCGTGGAGACCAAATAGCTGCTCCTTGATTCAATTATCACACCTCGTGGAAGGCAGCATCGGACCATCCCACAGGTAGGGGCTCTGTCCCACATATCTGGCCCCATAAGAGACCACCTTTTTTTTCTTACATAATTCTTTTTAATTGTTAAATACTTCTGAGTACAGTTTGTGTGTGTGTGTGTGTGTGTGTGTGTGATTACTAAAGCGCTTATAAATCTCAATTTAATGGTAGATTTTTTTTCCCCACACTAATATCATAATTTTTTCCCCTGTATCTGGGGTCAGGAGAAACAAAGGGAGAAGCCTGACCCAGCCTCCCACCCCTCCGCCCTGCCCCCAATGTGGGCCATGCTCTGAGGGTCCTGTTCAAGCAGTTTTGATAGTTCAACAGTTCTGAATTGCTGTCAATCTCGCCGTTCCAGAATCCACTGGCTGACATAGTATCTTCATGGTTGTGGTTCTGAGATCAGCAGTTCAGTTGGAGGGATCTCCAAAGAAACTCTGTCTGAGGTGATCCCAGATCTGATTCTTTTTTTTTTTAAAGATTTATTTTTATTATTATTATTTTTTTTTATTGGAAAGGCGGATATACAGAGAGGGGAGACAGAGAGGAAGATCTTCTGTCCAATGATTCACTCCCCAAGTGAGCGCAAAGGTCGATCCGAAGCCAGGAGCCTCTTCCAGGTCTCCCACATGGGTGCAGGGTCCCAAAGCTTTGGGCCGTCCTCGACTGCTTTCCCAGGCCACAGGCAGGGAGCTGGATGGGAAGTGGGGCTGCCAGGATTAGAACCTGGCGCCCATATGGGATCCCGGGCGTGCAGGGCGAGGACCTTAACCACTGTGCCACCGCGCCGGGCCCTCAGACCTGATTCTTGTGTGTGCTTGCCGGTATAGGGTCTGACACAGTCCGTCACCCCAATCAGCTTATGCACATGCTGGTCGTTTCAGTTGCTGGGTCAGTTCTGTTTACAGCCTTGTCTTGCACGTGAACCGATGGGTCAGTTGTAGTCCAGCCCGATCCTGTCCACCTCATACTCGGCCCTCATGCAAACCAGTAGGAGCTGCAGCCTACTCAGGGCGACTCCCTATAACCCCCACCAGGCCTGCCCCTACCATGGTTCCAATGCATGCCAGTATGTACAGCAGATTTATTCAGTCTGTCCGAATCCCATTTAGCTCTCATACATGTAAGAGACCAGTTCTAAGTGCTTTCTGACCAGCTGGCAACATGGAGTTTTCTTAGATTCAATTAATTTGTTATGATGGCTCACAAAACTCTGGAAACATTGTATCTAGATATTCCAGTTTGTCGTACAGTGTTTTTTTTTTTTTTTTAATTTGCTTACTTTTATTGGAAAGGCAGATTTACAGAGAGGAAAGACAGAGATCATTCATTCGCTGATTCATGCTCCAAGTAGTCGAGGCTGAGCTGACCCAAGTGACTGAGTGTGAGCTGACCCAAAGCCAGGAGCCAGGAGCTTCCCGCAGGTCTCCCCTGTGAGTACAGGATCCAAAGGTTTTGGGCCATCCTTGACTGCTTTCCCAGGCCACAGTCAGGGAACTGGATGGGAAGTGGAGGAGCCAGGATACATACCAGCGCCCATATGGGATCCCAGCGCATGCAAGGCAAGGACTTTAGCCACTAGGCTACCATGCTGGGCCCTGTACAGAGTGTTTTAAAACCGTGCCGGGGGCCCGGCGTGGTGGCGCAAGTGGTTAAAGGTCCTCGCCTTGCACGCCCGGGATCCCATATGGGCGCCGGTTCTAATCCCGGCAGCCCCGCTTCCCTTCCAGCTCCCTGCCTGTGGCCTGGGAAAGCAGTCGAGGACGGCCCAAAGCCTTGGGACCCTGCACCCGCGTGGGAGACCCAGAAGAGGCTCCTGGCTCCGTTGCGCTCACTTGGGGAGTGAATCATCAGACGGAAGATCTTCCTGTCTCTCCTCTCTGTATATCCGCCTTTCCAATAAAAATAAATCTTTTAAAGAAAAAACCGTGCCGGGCCCTGTACAGAGTGTTTTAAGGGAGTCAACTAAGCATTCATGGGGAGATGTACACAGCCGGCTCTGGAGTGAGCTCAGGTGCAGGAGCCTCCATCCTTTGAGGCCACATGCTCAGGTGTTCTTGTTACCTTTCCGCAAACTTCCATGTGTTCTGCTGTCCAGAGTTCTCGGAGTTTCCTCCACCAGAGCTGCACTGTTTATTTATTTGTTTAGTATTGGAAAGGCAGTGTCATAGAGAGAAAAGGAGAAACAGAAAGAGATCTTCCATCTGCTGATTGTGGCCAAATGGCCACAATTGCGGGAGCTGAACAGATCTGCAGCCAGAAGCCAGCTTTTCTGGATCTCCTACGTGGCTGCAGGGGCCCAAGGACTTGGACTCTGTTACTGTTCAGGGAGCTGAATGGAAAGTGGCACTGGACTCAAACCAGTGGCCATATGGAATGCCAGCACTTCAAGTGGAGGCTTAGCTTGCAATGTCTCACAATGACCCCTAGATTTGAACATTTGTTAACAATTAATGAAGCTTGGGCCTGGTGTGGT